GAGATTGTGAAGTTATGAGCATGGGGCCCTCATCACAGGACTAATTCCTTTATAAGAAAAAATGCATGAGAGCTTGTTCTCTGTCTCTGTTCCCTGTGAGGACCCAGTGAGAAGACAACCATCTGCAAAGCAGGAGGGTGGGGGGCTTATGCAGAATTGACAGTGCTGGCACCATGAACCTGCACTTTCACCTCTGAGGGAGAAAAATTCTTGTTATTCAAGCTGCCTGGTCTATAATATTTTAGTACAGCAGTCTAAGTCAAACTATGACAGATACTTAGTAAAGAAATCCAACACAATGTATGAAAAGCTAAGTAAATTCAGAATTTTCTTTTAAAATATCTTTTCTCATTTAGTTATCATTTAAACTACAATCACTGGTTTCATCATTTAAGCATGCCTCTTCTATATTTGCTTCCCGAACCTTATTATTTTTGTTTCTAAACTGTTTTTTGGAATTTGGCCTCTTCATTCTTCAATTCTTTCAAAAGAGACTCCTTCTCTTCCTGTAACCTATCGTTAACACTGACTGATGCAAGGTTTTTATACCTATATGTAAATGCAGTCATTTCTTACTTCTTAAAATCTTACAGTGACTGAAGAGAAATAGAAATATATATTCACACAAGACATAGAAGAAAGTTCATAGCAGCTTTATTTACAAAACCCAAACTGGAAAATAATCAGATATCCACCAAGAGATAAATGGATAAATACAATGTGGTATGTCTATGCAGTGGACAGAAAGGAAAAAAAAAAACAAAAATGAATTATTGATGCACTTATAAGATGGAATTTCATCACATGAGAATAAGAAACTAGAAACAAAAGGATACATATTACATAATACTATTTATGAGATATTTAAGAAAATACAAACTAATTGGATTAGTAGCTGCCCAGAGTTAGTAGCAAGGAGAGGTTTGAGCTGTGAAGAGGAGGCTTTTGGGGGCCTGGAGTGTTGGACATTGAACCCAGAGCTTTGGACATGTTAATAAGCAGTACTTCACCATTGAGCTCCTCCTCTAGCACCACAGGGAATCTTTTGAAAGTAATCAAAATGATCGGTATCTTCATTGTAGTTCCAGTTTCAATAATGTGTTACATTTGTCAAAACTCATTGTATTGTGCTCTTTATTTTATTTTATTTTTTTTTTTTTTGTAATTTGTAATTTTTTTGTAATTGAACTCAGGTCCTTGCACTTGCAAGGCAGGCCACCGAACCACTGAGCTAAATCCCCAGCCCTGTGCTCTTTAAATGGATGCAGTTTGTTGTACCTAATTTTATGCTTTTATAAGAGAAATTCTACAGGGATTGGCTCTCAGTTGCCTTCAGGGTACAGGCATTGTGTCTCAACTACATGATTCCAAGTTAATTTTACTTATTGATGTGTTGACTCCAGCTACCCCACACTAATGACCATTGTCGAATGTGCCAATTATTTTTATTTTGTTGTCTTGGCTCATATTCTTCACTCTGAATTGTTCCCCACCATCTTTTTTCTGTTTCTTAATAAAAACTAGTATGTCCTTAAAGAGTGGTTCCAGAGTCTACCCCTCTCCTAAAGGTTCCTCAGACTTTTGCTTTCATGTAATTTTTTTTTTTTTTGTACTAGGGATCAAACTTGAGTCCTTGCACTTGCGAGGCAGGCAGCAGAACTGCTGAGCTAAATCCCCAACTTCAGAAATAATCTTAATCATGACAGTGACATAAAGTAGCAATTGTAGAAAACATTTTTTGTTTTATGTTTTAACATTAAGTGGAATAATAAAGGAACAAAAATTAGCATTATCTTTGGGAGAGGTTGTGGCTAAGTTAGATAATATAAGCACTGTGAGCACTATGGTGAGCACTGTGGTTTACCTCTCCAAGCTATAAACAAATTTGACAGAATACAAAAATTACCAGTGTTCTTTATATAGCTTAATGCAAACCAAAAGTTAAGACGCATGACCTTAGCACTATAATGTTAAATGAAATAAATGAGACACAGAAGCTTAAATATTGCATGGTTTCTTTTACATGAGATACTCAAAATACAAATAAAGAGCAAAGTAACAAGCAGATTATAGGTTGTCTGGAGATAGATCTTAAATGGGAAGGGAATAAATAGATGGAAGAAATGGGGGACAGGTGTACATGTACCTATTCTATTCTGCAAACATATGCATTCCTAAGAAATGAAAGACATGTATAATCCAGGGTGCAAATTTTAAAATTTATAATATAGACAATTTGTATTAAGCACATAGAAAGCTTGTATTGATGGACTAGCATAATACCTTTGTTACATAAAGCAGCAAGGCAACCTAAATTACAGTCTTTAGGCTGCTTAATCAGCATAGAATGGGATCATGGGAAATCGGTTTAAATGTGGCCTAACTTCTGGGTCCAAGAGTTTGTATTAACTATTTTCTGCAGCACATTCATTTGTAATTAAATTATGAGACAAGGCTAATTATTTGGCTCTATCTTTATACTGTCTCAGTCTCTTGTAATGTAGTAGCCATTCACTTTCTTCTGCTGATGCATTCAGTACTGTCATTTTTGCCTATGCTGTTAAAGTACTTTTTTTCCCCCAAATGACAGAGGTCATAGGTTAGGGACTGAGGCTAATTATATCTCTTCTGCTGGTTCCATTGTCTAAATGATAGATGTTTACATTTTAAGGGTCTAGCTTTAAAGGTTGTAATTATGTTCAAAATGATTAAGAATTCAATAGAACTCTTAATTATCTCTGGATTATTTAAGACTCATTATGCTGGAAGTTTGTTGTAACTAGGTTATAGAGTTGAGTATGAGAGGTTAGTTGGCTAGTATTGAGAAGTGATAATGAGCAATAGTGTTAAAGTTTAGGAATGAAGGGCTTTGTTGGTCAAATGAAAGAGTTAAGCTTTATTCATTAATAGTTACAGTAGTAGCAGTAGTAGTAACACAAGCAGTTATAAAAGTATTAGGAATAATAAATATTATGCTAATGAAAGAAGAAAATGATATCTGAGTGCTTACTATGTGCTAGATACTGTGTTATTTACCCAGATTATTTAATCTCTAAAATAGTCCTTGAAAGCTGGAACTATTATCATACTTTACAGTTGAAGAAACTGAGACTCAAGTCAGACAGCTGGTAGTAGATTTTAGGGTTAGTTTTTTACTAGGCGTTATAATTGCATTTGTTAAACAAATGTAAGTAATAATATTTACATAAACAGTGTTGAAGAACAGTTAGAAATTAACTAGATATGTGATTCTGGAGCTGTAAAGATTATCAAATAAAAGTAAAAGAGATGGGAAGTAGAAGAGAATTCCAGAGAATTCATGTATATTAAAGAAAATTAAATAATTGTTTTAGGGTTGTAGTGAGCATTCAGTGAGAATCATAGCATGTTAGTGCATAGTAAATGAATGATAAATGCCAATTATTATTTTAATAGAGGTTTGATAGTCTACGTAGGAGACCACCAGTGGCTCTTTGTTTCCATAATGTATACACATAGGCATATACAAATATCCATGTGTCCATAATAGTACTTTACATTTACTTAGGGTAGAAATTCATATATAGTATAAGGATATAACTAAAATTTTGAGTTTTGATAAACTGCATTACTATGTAATCTGTGTTATATTTGCACTTAATAAGGAATACAGAACCTTGACTTTTTCTAGTGGATACAGTTATTTTTATGAAAGAAAATGGCTCAAAAGGTTAGAGAAAGGTTACAAGCAAGTGTTCTCACAAAGTTGCTGAAATAGTAAAATAAAGGAAATAGCCCTTTTCCTGCAACCTTATCTGATAGAAATAATCATTTGTTTTGGAGCAGTTTGAGCAGATGTTTCTCTATCATGTAGGAGGGGAATTTTAAAAATGACTTTATCTCCAAAAAACATCAGAAACTACTGTTGTGCATTTTTTGTGTATTTGTTTATTATCACATCCTTTTAGGACACACAGTTTAATTTCAGTATGTATCAGGGTCATTTTGGTATATCTGGAAGTATGACTTGTTTTATTCGACTATTCTCTTTGTAGACTTCCATATTTAATAAGACTAGAATATTAATAATAAAGTCACTCTTTGAAATAGTTTCTTCTGTATGTCCATATGCTAGGTTTTTTTTTATCTTTTCAGAGAATTATTGTACAGTTTATTATTAGTAACCCACCGAGGCACTTACTTCATATGCATTTTATAGAAAACATCTCCCTAGCTTATATCCATGCTGTGTATTATTCTTCCCTAAGTGTATTATCTTATACTATTTTTACATTAAATCTCATCTTAGACCTGTCCTTCCAAATCCCCAGATTGTTCATATCCATCCATCTGCTTGATTGATCTTCTTTATTTTTAACCCACCTTATCTTTGCATCATCTGCAACCTAGATTGTATTTGAATTTACATTCTCTTTCAGGTCATTAATGAGTGTGCTGGACAGAATAGTCCTTGTCCCTGTGGGACTGTACTAGATGTACTGCTAGATGTTCTCAGTTATAACTGTATTGATAATAATTCATCACTTCCTTCATATGAGAGATTCTTTACTGTGCTATACTTCAATACTATTTCTGGTTTCTGTGTGATCCTATCTCAATCATCTTTTTCTAACATAGAGACAAAAATTGTAATGTTGCCTTATTTGTGCCATTGCTTAACTTGAAAAAAATTCTAAGAAAATATTGTTGTTTAGATATTTCTCAAAAACCTCCCTTAAAAAAAGTGGCTCTTTAAATGCATACATGTGAAAACATTTTAGAAGTGCTTTCTAATTCTGCTTTCTCCATGCAAAGGGATATCTAGTTACATTTCACATGAAAAAATAACTTTTCTCTACATATATATGTAGGTATATTTTTTCTGAATGTGATATTTTTACAAGAAAGTACTGGTCTTCAAAGGTGGTTTCTTAGATGAAACAGTACATTTACAATTTATAGACATAATGCAGAATCATATTTATTCATTTTTTAAATTCTATTTTTTCTTTTATTTTCAGGAAAATGAAGAAGTAGATGGGATATCAGTAGGTGCCATACTTTCTGATTATCAGCGTGTTCGAGTAGAAAATGTGTAAGAGAACATTAATTTGTTAAAAGCTTATGTATTTTAAGAATATGAATGAAGAACTCAGTGGCAGAATGTGATTGATGGTAGAGTGTAAGAGCAAACAAGGCCCTTGGTAGAATCCCCACCACCACCAAGAAAAGCCAGAACATGAGTGGAAAAAAATTATATCTAAATCATAAATATATCATACATGCATTATGTGATTAAATTTATATATTTACCTAATTAACAAAAGTCATATTTTACTTTTTTTGTACCTATATCATGGAAGAGAAAACTCTTACTTACCATGAAGAAAAATGAATAATATATAGTTAAAAATTCAGACAAAGAATGTTTGTTTTTACGTGATTTTTTGGAACCAGCAAATGCTAAGCAAGCATTCTAGCACTAAGCTACCTCTCCAACCCCAAGACATTTTTAAATTGGTAAATATGTTAATATTTTTCCATCTTTGATTTAGTTTACTTTTTTTTTAGTTTTTTTATTAGTGAATATTTGCAGTACATTTTATTACATTCCTTATGGAGAGTTGGTATATGTACATAACACATCTTAATTCTTTGTTCTTCCTCCTTTCCTCTGTCCCTCCATCTCTTGGTCCCTTCCCACTTGCTGTTTATTTCTATTTGGGGTCTCTAATATAAAAGAAACCATGTAATATTTAAACTTATGTATCTGATTTTTTTCACTTAACATCATGGTCTGAAAGTGAATCCATTTTCCTACAGATGACTCAGGTTTTTCCTTCTCCATTGTGTGTAGTGCTCCATAATATACAAATACCAAATTTTCTTTATCCATTCATATGTTAATGAACATATATGCTGCTTCTAAGATTTAGCTATTATGATTTCTGCTGCTATAAAGTAGGTATGTATATATACATGTATCACTGTAGTATCATGTCTTTGATGCTGTTGTGAAATACCTAGAAGGGAAAATATTTGGGTCAAATGAAATCTCTAGCTTCAGATTTCTGTGGAATCTCCATACTGATTTCTGTAATGGTTGTACTAGTTTACATTCCCACCAGCAATGTAGAAGCATTCCTTTTTCCCCTCAGCCTTGCCAGTATTTGTTATTAATTGATTTTTCTTAGTGATGGCCATTCTTTCTGGGATAAGATGGAATCTCAGTTTTATTTTATTTTATTATTTTTTATTTTTTTGGTACTGACGATCGAACTCAGGACCTTGTGCTTGTGAGGCAAGCAGTGGAACCACTGAAAGTATTATTTTAATTTGTATTTTTCTAATAACGAGCAATGTTGAGCATTTCTTCATGTATGTATTACAGATTTGTACTGTTTCTGTGACATGTCTGTTCAGTTCATGTGCATTATTTTTTTGATGGGATTTATTTTGTGAGCCTAATTTTTTTTTAGTTCTTTATATATTGTAGATATTAGTCTTCTGTCTGAGAAATAGCTGCCCCAATTTTTTCCCATTCAGTAGGTTTTCTTTTCATTCCATTGTACTGTTGTTGTTTTCCTTTGCCATGCAGAAGCTTTTTAATTTGATTTGATCACATTTATTGATTCTTGGTACTATTTTCTATGCAATTGAGATTCTCTTGAGAAAGTCCTTGTCTACTCCTATAACTTCAAGTTTTACCTATTTTGTCTTCCAGTAGATTATGTGTTCTGTTCTAATATTTAGTTCTTTAATCATTTTAGTTTTAGTTTAGTACATTGTGAGAGATGTGGATTCAATCTTCTCCATTTGGATAGTCATTTCCCAACATTATTTATTAAAGAGCCTGTCATTCCTCCAATGAATGTTTTTGACTCCTTTGTCAAAGATCGGATACTTTAGTTGAATATACTTCGGGTTTCTGCATCCTCTGTTCTGCTGTTTTGACACTCATGCCTGTTTTTGTGTCAGTCCCGTGATCTTTTTATTGCTATAGCTTTGTAATATAACTTCAAGTCCAGGATTTTGATGCCTCCCACTTTACTGTTGTTACCCGGGATTGCTTTTGCTATTCTGGGTCTTTTCTGGTTCTGTATTAATTTTGAGATTGTTTTCTCCAGTTTGAGAAGAATCCTGTTATTGTTTTGATTGGGATTGGTTTAATTTTTTATACAGGTTTTGGAAGTGTGGCCATTTTTACTTTATTGGTTCTGCCTAATCAGGAACAAGACATATCTTTTGCATTTTCTATTATCTCATTCAGTTTCATTTTTAGAGCACTGTAGTTCTTCTCATTGTGGAGCTCTTTCACTTCCTTACTTAGGTTAATTCCTAAGTAGTTAACTTTATTTGGTGCTATTATGAAGTGTTTTTTCCTAATTTCTTTCCCAGTGACTTCATTATTAATGTATAGCAACACTATTGATTTTTTGTGTATTGATTTTATAACCTGTGACATTACTAGATTTGGTTATTGTAAGAGTCTTTTGATAAATTTTTTTGGGCCTTCTGCGTAGAAGATCTTGTCATCTGCAAATAATGATACTTAGACTTCTTCCTTTCCTGTATATATCCCTTTTATTTCTTTCTCTTGCCCGATTGCTCTGGCTAATTTTTCAAGAACTATGTTGAACAGGAGTGGAGATAATGGAAGACCTTGTTTTCTTTCTGATTTTAGAAAATAAGCTTTCAGCTTTTCCCATGTAAGATGATGTTGGCAGTAGTCTTGTCACAATGGCTTTTATCTGATTTAGATAAGATCATTTTATCTTTATTTTCTTTAGTGCTTCTGTCATGAAAGTATTTTGGATTTTGTCAAAGGCTTTTACTGTGTCTCTTAAGATGATCATGTGATCTGTTTTCCTTGTTTCTGTTTGTGTGGTATATTATATTTACTGATTTGTGTATGTCCAACTGTCCTTGTATTCCTGGAATGAAGCCTACATAGTCATGATGTATTATCTTTTTGATGATTTGGTGCATTCTGTTTGACAGAATCTTGTTGAGGATTCTTGGATCTATATTCCTTAAAGAGATTAGTCTTAATTCTGTTTTTTTGGTTGGGTCCTTGTCTGCTTTTTTAATAAAGGTAATGGTAACTTCCAGGAAAGACTTTGGGATTACTCCTTTCCTTTTAGTTTCATTAAAAAGCTTGAAGAATAGTGGTGTTAGATCTTCACTAAAATTTTCATCCAATTCTGAAGTGAATCCATCTGGAACCAGGCTTTTTTTTAATTATTGCTTTTGTTTCATTGTCTGTTACTAGATTATTTAGGGTTTTAAAATATTGGCTTATGTTGGTATGTAACCAGAAATATATTTCTTCTGAGTTCTCCAATTTCTTTGCTTACAGGATTGTGAAGTAGTTAATAATCTTTTTTATTTCAGCAGTGTCCACTGTGATTTCACCTTTTTCATTTCTAATTAAATCAACTTTTATTTCCTTTTTTTGGTAAGATTGGCTAAGGGCTTGTCTGTTTTGTTAAAGTGTATGAGAACTTCTGGGAGGATATAATACCAGTATTCTGCATGGTTTCTTTTCTATGAGAAACTCAGAGTACAAATAAGTTGTAGAGTAAAATAAAAGATAGAAAATAGTAGGGATATAAAACAAAACAAAACAGGGAAATAGAGCTTTTCAAATGGGAAATGGACCAAAAGATGAGTGGAGGGAACAGAGGAGAGGGGAAGGGGATGTGAAAAGAATTAAGATGTGTTATGTACATATGCCAGTTCCACATGGATGTAATCATTATGTAGTACAAACACATACTAATAAAATAAAAACTAAAAGAAAAAATTGATGAAAGGTATTTTTAACTCAAGTGATAAGGAAACCACTGTAGGCTTTTAAGCAGAATCTCATTATCTGTGTTTTAAAAGAATCACTCTTCTATTCTATTGAAAATGGAATTTTAATATGCCAAGGGTGAATGAGAGTGTCACCTAGTACAACCACTATGGAAATCAGTATGGAGATTCCTCAGATAACTCAAACTTGCTATTTTACTTCTACTAATCTTCCCACAAAGAGATAAAGACATCATATTACAGCAATACAGGCTGCACAATTCATAATAGCTAAATCTTAGAAGTGGCCTATATGTTCAACAAATGAATAAAGAAAATGCAGTATTTATGCATAGTGGAGTACTATACAAGACATTTTTTTGTGCATGTTAATTGCCTTGTTTTTGTTTTTGTTTTTTTTTAATTATTCTCTTTTGGTGCTGAGGACTGAACCTGAGGCCTTGTGCTTGCTGGGCAAGCACTCTACCACTGAGCTAAATTCCCACTCCAAGACATGTTCTTAAAATCATCTTAAATGCTAAAATTCTTGAAACTTTTGTTTAAAATCAGGACAATGGCTATGAGTGTAAATGTGGAATATTAAGGTATTATTCGAGTTATTTTTTTATTTTACCTTATAGGTGTAAAAGGCTTAATCTCCAGCCTTTAGCATACCTTTGGCAGAGGAACCAGGAGGATTTACTTCGAGAGATGATAGCATCTAACATACAAGCAGTCATCATCAAAGTAGCAGCTATGGGTATGTAGTCAAACTTTTAAGGGAGATGTCAGCTGCCAAATAGATAATCTCAGTTCACTAGTAAGTACTTCAAATGAAAAAGGAAGAATGATTTATAACACAAAAATTTGGAGTCACAATTTGAGGAAATCAAGCTTCTTGAATAAAGAAAAGAAAAATTAAAAATGGACTTTTGAACTTTTTCCAAACTGATTAATAGTGAGCTTCCCTGCTTGAATATGTAACTTATTCTGTTGTTTTTTGTTTTTGGACAGGTTCTCACTATGTAGTTTAGGCTGGCCTTGAACTCACTATGTAGTTCAGATTGACCTTGAACATACAGTGATTCTCCTGCCTCACAGGCATGTGCCACCATGCCTGCACCTAACTGACTCTTAAATTGGTGTTGGATCATGTTTCTTTGATTTAAGTACTTGCAAGATTGGTGTACTAATCAGCTTTCACATTGCTGTGTGAAATTTTTTTTTTTTTTTTTTTTTTTGGTACCAGGGATCAAACTCAGGTCTTTGTGCTTGCAAGGCAGGCAGCAGAACCACTGAGCTAAATCCCCAGCCTGACAGCCCCAATTTAAAGAAATAAGGATACCAAGTCCTTTGTTTTCAATTCATGGTGGGCTGGTTCCAAGGCTGAAACATTGGTATAGGGCCTGGTGCTCATTTCATGGTGGCCAGAAGCAGCAGAACATAGAGGAAGAGTACTAGGAGGAAAGAGCAAATGATCAGATATACTCCCCAAAGTCATGTCCCCATGATCTGCCCAGAGCTAGCGAGAGGTGTGCTTTACTACTTAAGTCTCTCAAGCTATGCAAGTTGACAACCAAGCTTGCCTATTACAATTTGAAGCACAGATATGGAGGAAATAAGAAATCTGGGTACTCTTGGGGGCTTTTATGTTTGTTTTTTTAAAACTTCTTAAAATACATATTTGGCATACGCATGACTTTTTTCATATTTTAGCACTTTTTTTCATAATACTGAAATAGTCTGTTGGTGTTATTAACACGGAAGTGGATTTTATTGAGGATGTAAGACAACTATTTTGAGAAAATATTTCATTAGTCAGTGTAGACAGCCCTCAGATATTAGATGATAATCTGATTCAAATGTGGATATTATATATGAACATTTTATTTGTTGTTTTAAAGTTTTATTTTATACTTATATACATTTTTTAGATACTATAGGGTTTGAGCCCAATGAATTTATTTCATGAACCTATTCCACAAAATGCCCTGGAGCTTCAGCATTTCCAATCCTGAATAATGTGCCTCATTTTAGAATATCTCTGAAATAATAAAGTCTTTGGTTATGAATGACTTTACAGATAAGTTCACATTTTAAACAAGATTTAAAGTTAAAGAATGCAGATCTCATAACATTTCTCCTTGGTAAACACCACACTACCTTCTCTTCCATGAAGTCAAGGTTTTGTCTTTAATGGAAAGCCTTGTTTGCAGATCTCAGCTGATCTCTTTTTTAGCTATGAAAATTAGAAAAATTATTTGGTGTTATCTTTTCATTTATGAGAAGAAGTTGCTGAATAGCTTTGTAAAGTTCTCACAAATATGTTCATCATAAGAGATTCTATGTGGATGCTCTACTGCTTTTTTTTTGGTTCTCTATGGTTTGCTAAGATTGCCTTTTTTGAGTGAATATTGTATGAAAACATTTTGAGAGATACATATAAATGATAACTATCTTTTAAGATCACTCTTTGTATGAATTAAAATACTAATTTTTTTTATTATCACATGAGTAGTACCCCATTCTGTGTCTTGAGCTACAACTTTCCTTTTTTGTTTAAAAATGTATCTTGGGGATCTTTTTTCCATAACATTGAAGGTAGACCTACCTCATTTTTTTTTCTTTTTTAAGAAACTTTTTATTGAAATATAACATGAAAAAGTAAAATCCTAAGTGTCAAGTGGTTGCATTTTCACAAATTAAAAATAATTGTATAATCAATACTCAAATGTAAATGTCACACATCACTAACATCATCTTACTCTATACTTAACCTCTTAAGATTAACAGTCCCCTGATACCTCAAATCATAGATTGGTTTTTCCTGTTTTAAAGTTGATTATGTATTTAATTAATTTAGTAGTGCTGAGGATAAAACCTAGGGCCTCAGGCATGCTAGACAAGTAGTGTCCCCAGCCCTATTTTAAAAATTTGTATTAAGGAAATCATATAACATGTTCTCTATTGTATCTGGCTTCTTTTGCTCAATGTATATTATTGAGTGAAATAATAGTATATTCATTCTCATTATATTTTAACATTGCATTGCAAGAATATACTAGCATTTTATTTTTCTTTCTGCCACTGATGATGTACAGCTAATTTCCAGTTTGGCAGTATTATAAATGGTGCTGCTATGAACATATGGGTCATCTTGAACATTTTAAGTTCTCCACTTAAAAAATTCCCTTTTTTCCCTTTAAAATCCCTGCTTTCTTATAGTATGAATGACATATATTTATGTTTTATATAAATGTATATCTAACACCTTATTAGTTCATATTTTGAAATCAAGTTGAGAACTATAATAATTCTATATGTTTTATTCCACAATTAAAATCTTGATTCTTTACAACACACAATATGCTTGCTATTTATTAGAAAATCTAATAATTACTGGAAACAAAAAACCAACTAGCAAGTCTGTTATCCATTCTTTCCTGTAATTGGTGTATACACTTTTGAAAGAAAGGATATTCATTGCAGATCTCATGGCAAAAATGCAGAAATCATGGTGATTAATAGTGGGGAGGAGCTATTATCTTTGGCCTGCTTTTAGCAGGATTCACCTGGTTGCTAAAATATACAGGGAGATGGCAATGGGAGAAAAAAAAAAGTAAGTCAACTTTTGCCCATTACTAGAAAACCTCCTGTTTAAAAGATACATTAGGTTATGAAATAACTAAATTAATCAGTAGAGAAACTATAGAGGTTTAAGGGGTAACTAATTAGATGATTTTGTACTAACATTGAGTTTGAATGGAAGTAGTACCAGACCTGTACTGATAAGATCTCTAGGATTGTGATGTAGAAATGAGGTGATGGGAAGGAATACAAGTACACAATTCCCCTTTCAAAAACTTTGCTTTTGTTTTTCCTTATTTGGCAGAAATAAGCCTGATACTAATGTTTCATGAACCAAACAAAGAAGTATATTATCAATGCACAAAACACAATATGAATAGCAGTAAATGTGACAATGAATCCTCTCCTTCCCTCCCCTCTCCTCCTCTTCCCTTTCCTCCTTTCTCTTTATTCACAGCAGACATGCAATGTGCCAACATTATAAAAAGATCTGAAGGAGGCAATCTCTCACTATAGTGTGGAAACCCAATCATCATACTTAGTAACCACAAAGGGATTGACAGTGCATGTTCCTAAAGGCTTTTAGAGGCGTGTGTAACTTCATCCCATTTAGGCATTTAAGACCTATAGTGAGCACAAAGCAAGTGTCCTATGTATGAGTCTTTATCTATCAAATACTATAATTTCTGCCAAGGAAAAGTGTTACCAGGTTTGCTGTTTTTACTGGTCCTATGGGTTTGTAATACAACTACAGAGCCAGAAAGCCTAATTATAGAAAAAAGGGTATGTGTCAAAACAGGTAATAAATGGAAATGAGGGAAATTATAAGAAATTGAAAGGCAATTACAGATGAATTACACTTCTATGGAGGGATGGAGCCATGTGACTTCCATACCCCAGCCTTCAAGCTACAGAATACTTCTCGAAGACATTTCTCACAGATCTGATGGTAACTTTAACTGACGTTAACAACAAAAACCAATCTAGATCTGTTTTCTGCAGAGAAGGGGAATTGGTGATGTATAAGTTCCACCTAAAGACTCCGTTTGGAAAATTTGGAGCAACAAAGTGGCAGACTGCCATTTCATAACTCAGAAGTTTTGAGGATAGTTCACTGTAAGCTGTTCAGCTCCTATAGTTACCATTTAGTTATTGATTTATAGGCTATACTTAATCATTCTGATCATTTTTGGTGACTTAACTATTATTGATGAATTATATTATTATATTGATGAATTATATTATTGATTAATTATGTAGAAGATTCTGAATAGTAGAGATTTTGCACTCTGTGAACATAAAACAATATGTTGTTAAGACATGTACCTAGGTATAATGGAAAGCAGATTTTTATGGTCTGCCATAGTATGAAAATATGTGAATGTGAATAGAATTCATTTATGGAGATTAGAAGACCACCCTGGAAAGAACTAGATTTGAATGTGTTTAATTAATAAGAAATACTTATAACTGCTCTCTGGTACAAAGTATGTCTATGGAAAATCTATGACACACCCAAGCCGAGCTGTATTTGGTGATGATCTTTGTGATATAATTTAAGTGTACAAACCATTTTCCTAAATTACATAAATTTCACTAATATACCATGGGAATAAGCCATGCTTTGGCTTATCAGTATTATGATTATGCATGCTGTTTTGATATTCTATGTGGATTTTTGATACCAGTCTTGGCATAAGAGGGTGCTACATCAGAACAAAGTAATATTTCTTAAAGATGATCCTGATGAAAAGACTTCTATCTAAATTGGGACACTAGAGGGAGCTCTTTTCTAGGAGACAGGCAGCATTTGGAGGTGGCCCTAGAGCAGTGATGGTGAACCTTTTACAGACTAGTGCCCAAACTGCAACCCAAAACCCGCTTTATTCCCAAGTGCCAACATTGCAATTAAATCTGAATACTGAGGTTGTAGTTTGGAAAAAAAAAAAACTTATACATTAATATTTTTTGTCTTATAAGAAAAGCAACAAGCATACCACTGGTTCATTACCACTGCCCTAGAGGGACAACAAAGCTGTAAAAGACTGAACTAATGAGTATTTAATGAGACATCATATCGGTCAAGAGTGCAAACAAAGAGCCTGTACCCTTACCTAAGAAAGACTATCAAATATTCTAATCACTAGAAAGTTGTTTTAAAAATCAATGGCTGGGCGTGCCAGAAGCCAAGCTCAGTTTGCCCACTTATATGAACACTACAGTTAGCTCAAATTATGGCAGAACATCACTGGACAATGTGGCTTTTATTTGTTTGCTAACGACCCAGGTATCATGATAAAAGCGTATCTTTTTCTTTTTCATGAAACACTGATCATAATGGGAGAGATAAAGGACTGACGTTGTGTTGTCCTGATGGGAGGGAGCATGTTGCATAGTGATATCTACAAGCCAGTGGCTGTGAAAACCTGTACTGTGATATCTGTTATGTAGTTATATTCTCAAACAAGACACAGCCAGAGGTCATCAAATGATAATCTCTAGTTCCCACTGTAGCCACCGAATATGAAGTTTATAGAAAATTTGTTCTCATGCGGAAATAATGGAAAATGTACTATAATTCTAAATTCCCTTACAGAATAATTTGGGCTAGAACATATGCACTGTAGCAGGGAAGGTCTTGGAGAGCTGTAGTTATGGTCCTGTGCCTCTGCCTGGTTTGCTGTGCTGCTTCATTACTTCTGTTCTTAAAATGCTCATTAAAGTTGATATTGGCTATGTTCTGTGATTTGTTTGATTTTGATTTAACAAGCTAATATTTTGGCTTAACTCAATTTCTCAATTTATTTTGTACTGTATTACATAGGTAGAAAAATTTTTATATTTTTGTAGTTAATGCTCTCTGAGCAAATTTTTTTGTTTGCTTGCTTTGTTTTGTTTTGTTTTGAAACAGAGTCTTTTTGTTTAGTTCTGGCTGGCCCTGAACTCACTGTGAATCCCAGGCTAGTCTCAAACACAGGGTAATCCTTCTGCCTCATTCTCCCAAGTCCTGAGATTATAGGTATGTGCCACTAAACCTGGCCTTCTGAACAAATATTACAGAAAATTTGGAACCTACTTCTTATAACCAAATAGATCCACATCTATTCTTATGTTTGCATTTCAAAGCTGGAGATAAGACAAAGACCTTGGAGACATTTCCTCCACCTGGGTTGTAAATCAGAAATATTTGCCCATCCCCACTAGAAGTCTTTTTATATTCCAAATTATGAAGACTCAAGTCTTTCCTTTTACTTTTCCAAGTAAATTCTCTCCAGGGGGGGCCAGGGTCAGCTGCTCCCCCCCCAATCAATACATGGATTTCTTTTTTCTTTTTTTGACTGGGGGAGGTCCTCCTATTGTATATGAAATTACTCACAAGATTACATCTCATCCTTATCATCTTACTCTTGAGTAAGAGCTAGAAAACAGAAAAGTAAGAATGGTATTACTTACTTATTACTTAAGTCATAATAATAATCTGTTCTCTAGGGAACTCAAATTGACATTCAACATACTAATAACTACACGTATTAAAAACTTAATTGAAATAGTCTAACAGAAATACTGCCTTTGTTTATGTGATTTCTCAGAATAGTTTAAAAATTTTAGATGTTCTTTATGAATTTTACTTCCTTTGTTTCTTTCCTTTTTTTTTTTTTTTAATTGCTGATTATCGAACTCAGGGCCTGTGTATGCTAATAAAGCACCCTACCACTGAAGTATAATCCCAGCTCCTTATGTCCCTTTATAAAATAAATTTTAATCTATATTATTTGAGTACCTAACTATTGTATGTTGCATATTTTTATATTTGTGTTTTACAGTTTTATGGAGCTGTCATTACCATAATACATGCTTCATTCATTAAAAGTATATAATTCAGATTTTTAGTATATTTGCAGATTGTGCAATCATCAGCACAGTCTAAATTTAGAATACTTTTATTTCCCCACAGACAAATTCTGTACTCTTTGCCAGTCATTTTGTACTTCTTTCCAGCCTTCTTCCTTACCTACTACCTACCAGTCTTTAGCACCATGAGAACTTTATGCCTTTATGTCTTAACATATTTGCCTATCTGGATATTTCACATAAATAAAATCCTACAATATGTGTCCTTTGCGACTGGCTTCTTTCATTATGAAAGTTTTATTGTAGTGTCTGTCAGTGATAGATATTCTTTATTGCCATACAGTGTTTAATTACAAAGATACACCATACTTCATTTAGCTGTTCATCAGTTCATGGACATTATCATTTCAATTTATTGGTGCTTATGAATAAAGCTCTTGTGTGATCATTGAGAGGAAAGTGTTTGTGTGAAGATGTATTTTTAATTCTCTTAGATATAAAACTAGGAGTAGATATGTTGACTCTGTGTTTAGTATTTTGAACTGCCAAACCAATTTCCAACTGGTTATACCATTTTAGATTTCTACCAGCAATGAAAGAGGGTTCCAACTTTGTCATATCCTCATCAACACATAGCATTTTCTTTCTTACTATAGCTGTCTTAATAGATATAGGCTTGTATCTTATTGTAGCTTTATTTTGCATTTCTTAAATTACTAAGAATGTTGAGCATCTCTCATGTACTTATTGTTCATTCTTATATCTTTTTTGGAGTAATTATAGTTCAAACCCGGTGTCCATCTTTTAAGTCAGTTAGTTGTCTTTTCATTCCTGTATTGTGTTTTAGATATTCTTTTATATATATTATGATATAAATTCCATATTAGATACATGATTTGCAAATATTTTCTTTCATATTATTAATTTTCTTTTCATTTTCTCATGGTGTCCTTTGAAGCACAGAAGTATTAAATTTTGATGTGGTCCCGTTTATTCATCTATTTATTTAATAACTTTTTGATGTTGTATCTAAGAATTCATTACCTAATACAATATTAGTGAAGATTTACTTGTGTTTTTTTCTAAGAGTTTTATACTTTTAGCTCTTACATTTATATCTGAGATTTCCTGGTCTACCCACACACTTCTTTTTTCCTCTATTCCTACCTCACTTGATTTTTGTTTCTTCTGCAAGATTAATTAGTCTGCTACCCTTAGTCTCAGTCTCAGGCAAAGTCTGTGAATGTATGCAAAATGCAGACAGACTTTCTGCCAAGGCATAACACACATCATCTGGAATCGAGCAGCCAGTGCAGACCTTTTCAGCAGAAATATCTTGAGTCTGGGCTTTACAGTATTTTTGGTTTCCTGAGCTCTCATCAAAATCTCTCATACAGTATAGCCTAAGGCATTCTAGCCCTGCTTTTCAACTGACGTCTCTGAACCTTTTCTAACTCTTCTATTTCCTACAAGCCAGTTCCAAAGGCTGTTGAGCCACATGGCCAGGTAATGTCATCACAGTGATCCCACTCATGGTACCAAATGTCTTTGTTGTTGTTGTTGTTGTTGTTGTTGTTGTTGTTGTTGTGTTGTTTTCCTTTGCTGAGTCAAAATACCTGACAACTGAAGTTAAAGTGGTGAAGGTGTATTTGACTTACAGTTGGTAGAGGTTTTAGTGTATAATTGGCTGGCTCTAAGGGAGAGT